GGCTGCTGCTGCTGCTGCTGCTGCTGCTGCTGCTGCTGCTGCTGCTGCTTCTGGTGCGGGTAGGGAATCGCGGGAGCGTCTCGGTGGGAGAGGAGTGGCTGGGCTTTTCGTTTATTTAATTTGATGATCCTGAAGATAAATAAATAAATAAATAAAATATATTTTATATATTTTATTTATTTATCTAACTTAGTAGAGATGCACACGTGCGATGCATGCGGCTCCAGCGGCCCCACGGGCAGCAGCAGCAGCAGCAGCAGCAGCAGCAGTTCTTGTTTGGGTGAGTGTGTGTATGTTTGCGCCGTTTTTATTTATTTTTTAATTTATTTTTTATTTTTATTTTTATATTTTATATTTTTATGTTTTCACTTTTAAAGAGGCTTTTATTTCATGTTTTGCATGGCCTCCGGCCTTTTCCGCGGCGGCCGCGCGAGGGTTTAGGGTTTAGGGTTTAGGGTTTAGGGTTTAGAGTTTGGGTTTTTCGCAGCGTTTTCCCGCTGAGTGCAGGGGCCTGGCGGCGTGCTGCAAGTCATCACTAGATATCTTTTGGAGTTTAATTTAATTCTATTTAAATTTAATTTCTTTTTTAATTTAATTTCTTTTTTAATTTAATTCTTTTAATTTTTATTTTTAATTCTTTTAAATTGTTTTCAGGAATACGAAAAAAGGGCTCAACTCATGTCCCTCTTGCGCCGCATAATGGACGGCTCGAAGATTTTGGTCTTCGCAGAAACCAAAAGAGGTAAAAAAATTATTTATTTATTTATTTATTTTTTATTTGTTTATTTATTTATTCATTTGTTCATTTGTTTGATTGATTGATTGTTTAATTATCTATTCACGTGTTCGTTTGATTATGTATATATTTATTTACTTGTGGGAGTGCATGCATGCATCCGTGCATGCATGCATGCATGCGAAAGAAGTGGCCAAATGAAAGTGCATGCATTCAAGTGACGAAATGGGGGTGCATGCATGCATTCATGCATGCATGCATGCATTGAAGTGTGCATGCATGCACGCATGCGTGCAATGAAGTGTGCATGCATGCATGCATGCATTGAAGTGTGCATGCATGCATGCATGCATGCATTGAAGTGTGCATGCATGCATGCATGCATGCATGCAATGAAGTGCGCATGCATGCATGCATGCATGCATGCATTGAAGTTTGCATGCATGCATGCATGCAGGTGCGGACAATTTGACGCGGGACTTGCGAATGGAGGGCTGGCCCGCGCTGTCTCTACACGGCGACAAGAAGCAAGAAGAAAGGACTTGGGTTTTGGACGAATTCAAACAAGGCAGAAACCCCATCATGGTCCGCCAAATTAGGGTTTAGGGTTTAGGGTTTAGGGTTTAGGGTTTGGGGTTTGCGAGGGTTAGGAGGAGCTCGCCTCGGAGCCCGCGGGCGTCCGCGGTGTCCGCGCAGCTGCTTCCGCAGCCCCCGCCCCCGCCGCTGCTGCTGCTGCTGCCGCTGCTGCTGCTGCTGCTGCTGCTGCTGCAGCAGCAGCTGGGTTTGCTTCTGTTTTGCTGCGCAGGTGGCCACTGACGTGGCTTCTCGGGGGCTGGACGTGAAGGACATTCGCCACGTAATTAATTACGACATGCCGAACCAAATAGAAGACTACGTCCACCGCATTGGCCGCACTGGCAGGGCCGGAGCCAAAGGTCAGCAGCAGCAGCAGCAGCAGCAGCAGCAGCGGCAGCAGCAGCAGGGGCCGCTGCTGCCGCTGCTGCGGGCGCGCAGGGGCAGCGGTAGAGTGTGTGCGGGAGGTGTGGGGCGCGTGCATGCGCATGCATGCATGCGTGTGGGCTGCATGCGCATGCATGCATGCGTGTGGGCTGCATGCGCATGCATGCATGCATCGTTTGGGGCTGCATGCGCATGCATGCGTGCATGCAGGCAACGCGTACACGTTCTTCACCACGGACAAGCAGCGGCTAGCCAGGGACTTAGTGCGAGTTTTGAAAGAGGCCAGCCAAGTAGTGCCTCCGGAGTTGGAGGCCCTCGTGGGGTACGGGGGGGACTCTGGGGGGGGCCGCTGGGGCTCCCGGGGGGGCCCCCGGGGGGGCCCCCGCGGCGGGGGGGGCCCCTATGGCCGCCCGGGGGGCCCCAATGGCATGCCCCTGGGCCCCGGGCGCTTTTAATAAGCAGGGCTGCTGCTGCAGCTCCTTCACTTTAACTGTCCTGCTGCTCGCTGCCTGCATGCATGCATGCATGCGTGCATGCGTGCATGCATGCGTGCATGCATGCATGCATGCGTGCGTGCATGCGTGCGTGCATGCATGCGGCGCCACGTGCGGCTGCATGCGCGCATGCAGAGAACGCGCGCAAGCAGCGGAGTGCATGCATGCAGCGAAGCGCATGCATGCGGCGAAGCGCATGCATGCAGCGAAGTGCATGCATGCGGCGAAGTGCATGCATGCAGCCACTGCATGCAGTGAAGTGCATGCAGCGAAAGGCATGCATGCAGCTAGCGCATGCCTGGGGGAGCGAGGCCTGTGGGGCTGGAAGTGTGGGGCCCCGGGCCTCGGGAGGGAAAAGGGAGGAAAATAGAAACAGAAAAGACCCGAAAGAATGAAATAAATAGAATAAATGAATTAGAACAAATAGAGTTCTTCAAAATGCAAAAAGAATCCCCGAAAGAGCTGCGACAGTCCCGAAAACAAACGAAAGCTGCCGAGACACCCCAGAGCCCTGCCCCGCGGTGCGCCCAGGTGTACGTACACCTCAGCGGCAGCAGCCTAGTGTATCGACGAGCCAAACCCTTCTTTGCAAACCCTCACTTCTTTATTTGTTTTGCTGCTGCTGCCAGGCCCTCCCCAGTCCTCTAGGCCTAGGGTTTAGGGTTTAGGGTTTAGGGTTTGCGGGGACTGACGGCCGCGCGGCCTTCAAACAAACCTCTTTCAAGTATTCGCCTCCTACAATAAACGCGCGCCTCCACAATGCAGGGTTTAGGGTTTAGGGTTTAGGGTTTGGCGCTAGGGTTTAGGACTAGGGTTTAGGGTTTAGGGTTTGGGGTTTAGGCGGCATTTGCTTTACTCCCTAGACAGCCACGAGGCGTCTTGTCCCGGCTGCGCAGCAGCAGCACCTGCTGCTCTGCTGCAGCACCTGCTGCTCTGCTGCAGCAGCTGCTGCTTTGCTGCAGCACCTGCTGCTTCGCTGCAGCAGCTGCTGCTTTGCTGCAGCACTTGCTGCTTTGCTGCTGCTGCGGGACATCGAGCCTTAAATGGCATTTGAGATGTTCACAAACTTCCCAAGCCGAAGCAAACGCGCCCCGCAGTTGGGGTGTACGTACACG